CTCCTAATATAATTTAGGATTTTTTTAGCCCATGTTCTTGCTATTGTAAAGCAAACTAATGAACTAAACCATTGCGTTATATAGATGATCTTTTTGTCCAAAAGGACAAAAGGTAATAATTCATGTATAATGTGGGTAAACTCTTTAGTGGAGTATTTTTTTTTCTGGAACATTCTTCTACACCTATTATAGTATATGCTCATGTTATTGTCAACATCCTTGATTGGGATAGGACTCGAACCTGCGACTTCCTCATTGGGAGATCAGCAGTGATGCCATCAGACTACAAGGTACTTGGCTGGTGGAGTATAAATTATGTAATATATGAATGAATTAATAAGCTAATAAATGTGGGAAGAGTAAATTTAAAAAAAAACTAGTGAGCGGCGCTTGACGATGGACGAACCATAGCGTGCGGCGGAGATCTGATCTACATAGAAGATCGCACTGGACGTCTGTCTCTTCTTCTGTCATCTCAGTAACGAACGTGGATGGTATTTGGGGTAGTTTTGGCGATTTCTTTTCAGGTTTTCTCATTGATTGTCATTTCTTTACCGGCTGGTTTTCTGCTCATTTTTGTTTCGTCTGGATGAGTTTTCTCTGGCCAGGGTTTGTACGTTCCAATTATGAGCGTGTTTGTTCTTTTGTTTGTGAATATTGCTACTTCTTTTTCTCTGTCTCGGACCCGGGTTTCATTTTGTTGGCCATAAATGGATAGCTTATACCAGACTTATGAACGGATGTCAATGGATGAGGTTAATGACAATGGATCAAAAAATGGCAAGGCAGCGGTACTCCTAGAATAGCACCGCCTAAAATACTAACAGGTCTCGTAAACGAGATGATTCATTTGGAGGTGGCTGGTCAAACTTCTTCTTCCTTTCCGGTGGCTGGTAAAATCAAGATGTTGCCTTTGGAAGTGGATGGAAACCCTCTTCTCCCTTCCTGGTGGCTGGTAAAACCGGGACGCTTGAATTATTTTGTTGTTTTATTTAAAGAATCTTGTTTAGCTATTTCTCATTTTAGTAGCAAGTGCAGCGATGTTGTTAGATTAGTCTACCATGATGCGGGGTTAGCGAATTTGACGGATCCTCAGAGGCTAGTCAATTCTATGTTTCACGCCGGCGTAGTCTTGAGCTATTGTATTGCTTTGTCTCTTGTTACTCTCATTATTAATTATAATTAATTATTCTCCTTAAAAAAAATAAGCTAATAAATGTCAAACGTGTTCAACATATCACATTAATTTAAGATCAATAAATTAAGAAATGCAGAAGAAATTTAAATGGAAGATTAAGAAGTCAAATATTTTGAGTCTATCAGTCTCTAAGGTAATACTGAAGTTGGCTGAATTAGCTAAAATTTATGGTGTTCTAGTTAATACGACTTAATTTACTGATTCTGTTGAATTATGAAAAAGATATATTTAAATATATTATATTAATAAAATAAAATAAAATATAATATATAAAAGTAGCTAAAATGGTCTCTAAGGTATATATTTCTTACATATACGTCTAATGTTGTAGTTTTTACATTGCTCATTTGTAAAGGGAAAAGATGTCAAAGCACCCTCTAACATTTATCTTGAGGAGCAAAATTGATCCTTAATATTTTCTACGGTGCAAAAGTACTTCGAATGTTTTATTAGAATTATGCTCATTCTCATAAACATAAATACTAACATTAAAATCACAAAAACTATTAATTTATGAAAAGTTATTGAATCACAAAAACTATTAATTTATGAAAAAAGTTATTGATGTACGTGCCACCGGTATATTTTTTCTATGGCACATATAATTTTTATATTTTTACATGAATTGTGTGTGATACGACGAAATGTACATTACAGAAACAAAATCAACTTTATTATTAACTTTAATTACTTATTGTAATAACTGATGTTTTAATATTTAAACATGGATTTAAATTCGTTCAAAAAAAACATGGATTTAAATTTAGGTTGAGTTGGGACCAGAGGCGGATCTACATGTTTGGTAGTGGGGGCACATTGTAACACTTGAGATTAATTTAAAAAGGATTAATAGTACTACTCATACCAACAGAGGTGCATCTTCTTTTAAGGGAGTTCATCACCCAAGAACTCCAAAGTTAAGCGTGCTTGCACGGGAGTTGTCTTGGGATGAGTGACCCCCTGGGAAGTTTCTCGGGGCGCACATGAGTGAGGACAAAGTGCGCGGTAAAAGCTAGTGGTGGTTTGTGAGGACAGTACTAGAGGTCCAGAGTAACTACCTCGGCTCCTGGGGGGGGCCGGGTGTTACAGGTGGTATCAGAGAAACCCTGCGACAGTGTGCTGACCCGTTGGATATCGGGCGGGCACTTAGCGGGGGAGAATTCTTGGATTTGGTTGAGATTTGAGAATGGTTTAAGGGCGCAGAACGTTGCGATCCTAAGTGGGGGTGATTGTAACACTTGAGATTAATTTAAAAGGATTAATAGTACTACTCATACCAATAGAGGTAAAAGCTAGTGGTGGTTTGTGAGGACAGTATTAGAGGTCCAGAGTAACTACCTCGGGTCATGCGGGGCTGGGGTGTTACACACATGCCCCCAATAACTTGATTATTTAATTGAATAAATATATAATAATTTGAGTATTTTAATTTAATAGGAAGAATTTGCCCTTAATGATTTTTATCTCATGTCCCTAACAATTGTTTATGAAGGTTTAAAGTCATTTTTAGTTCGCTTTGGATAAATTTAATTTGATATGTATCTACAATACAGGTTCGAAGGAAAATTTGCAATTTTCATCTCGTAACTTTCGGTCGTTTTCATTATTAGTCCCGTAACTTTAGTCCTTTGCAAATTCGGTCATGTAACTAATAAATCTTTGCGATTTAAGGACTTTCCCCGATCGGGTATCCTATATACTCGATCGGGTATCAGACCCTGCAGTTCCCAAAAGCCTATAAATACACCCCTTTCCTTCACAATAAAATCACCAATTCTCATATACTCTTAAGCTCGGTTTAGATTAGTGTTTTCTTTATATTTTCTATCATGTTTAGTCTCCAATTGAGGAGCTAAACTCTTCCATCTTGGTTTTGCTACTTTGAAGCTTAATGAATGGTAAGTTGTGAATTTTTACAAGGAAACTGAAAAAATCCCATTTTTTCAAGAAGAAGATAAAATTGAGCGTGAGGAGTCATCTTTGGTTGGAATGGAATCGTGGAAATACGAACTAAAACCACCTCCGGTTGAGGTGGTGATGAGAACGAAAATCCGGCCTTACTGGAAAAGGTCGAAGAAAAAAAATGAAACTCGACCAAACAAGGCCTTTAAAAATCAAAAAGGAATGTTTATGATCCCACATAAAATTGAAAATAAAATAAAAAATAACGTCATGCCGCGACGTTAACTAAGGCGCTTCTTGGGAGGCAACCCAAGCAAAGGTACGTAGTTTTCCACCCTTGCTTTTTGATTTCTTTTACTTTGAATGTCATCTTTGAGAAAAAGGGAGAGAAAAGAATTCAGGTTTTGAGTTATTGGGAAAACACCCGATCGGGTATACTCACCTACCCGGTCGGGTCCAAGCAAAAAATTGAAAAAATAATGCTCCGAGGCATGGTACACGATCGGGTATCTACTCCCATCCGGTTGGGTATATTTAACAAAAACAGTTTGAATTACTTCGTCGCAAATTACCCGATCGAGTAAACCAAATACTCGGCTGGGTATACAACCCCTGGAGCATTTTTGAAAAAAATGAACACATACCTGATCGGGTATCAGCCCAACTCGGTCAGGTAACACCCCGGAACAAGAAGGAACACACGCATACCCGATCGGGTATGTCGGGCTACCCGTTCGGGTACACGACCTTTTTACCCAATCCGGACGGCCAACCCCACCACCTCATCTTCCCCAAATAAACTTTTCCAATTCGAACCCTCTCTCCCTCATTACTCACCCAAATTCATCCAAACTACCACCAAATCACTCCCCTCAAACTCCTCTACAATAAAACACCCAAAAAAATATCCATCTCCCCTCATATTTACCAAAAAAAAAAACCTACCCCCTACACTCAAATCCGAATTTCAAGCTTCCAAAAGGGAATAATGACACCGAAGATGTGACACCGCACCCGAACGTCCTTGAAAAAAATTCAAGTTAAAAATTCAAAGTTTACGTATTGAATTTCTGATTCCCAAAAAAAAATTGTAAATGATTGATGATTTTACGTAATTAATGATCGATTATTATACCGTCCGAACTCGCATATTAGTGTCGGGCTTGTGAATACTCATTTGGGCCTTATTAATAAATAAAAGAGCCTAACATTATCTAAGTAGCGATACATAACGTTTCAGGACAAGTTGAAGAAGGGCGGGCAGCCCAGATATTATTTTGGGCTCAACCCGCTAAAATAGCAAGTATTCGAGGACGGCGTCGTAGGCCCACTCGGGGGCGACCCACACGGCTAGTAGCCCGATAATATGGATAACAAATGTCAAAATAAGTGATAGGATGATTTGAGAAGAATACAAATGCCTATAACCCCACCTTTGGCCTTATTGAGCTAAATAATGGGAGTAGGATTTTCCTTCTATAATATCTATCAAGTAAATTATTGGGATGAGCCTACACATATTGGAGATCAATAATGTGATTTGAGAAGTTGACTTGTTCTAAATAAATTAGGATGAGTACAAAAAGACATCTTTTGACAAAGATAAAACAATAGGACCCATTTTCCCCATTTTTGGAAGCATTGGTAGATAATTTGGATCCCAAAATGATTGGGATCAATTGGGAACCACTCCACATGATATTAGTACCTGCAAGACAAATAAAAATGGGTTAGTAGACTTACCTTGGCCGGCCATTATGGAGAAGAGCTGCACATGACTTGATAAGAATCAAAGTTTGGGGCCACCACTCTTATTTTCGCACAAATTGGTGTGCTGTTTGTCTCCTCTCATTATAGGAGCTATCCTCAACCAAATAACGTGTATGAGGTGTCCTTGGATAGCTTTTGAAGTCTATTTTTATAATTGAGTGGTCTCAATTCGAGAGGAGAGAGCAATCATCCAAAAATCGATCTGGAACGAGCAGAGGTCTGTGAACTCGAGCTGTGAGAGTGCTGAGACTGTTTGGTCGATATCTCGAGTTTTACAAATCCAATTAAGGCGTGTGAGATACCCACAGAAAGCTCTCAAGACGAGGAATCCGTGAAGGTCTGGTTTGCAGGAATCGGAGTTGTGGAAGGCTTCCAAATCGTCCGAGAAAAACGCAACCTCGCAGGAGAGGATTCAATCCTCTAAAGTGAGTTTTAACCCCAAAGCTTTACTTTTCATTCTCCAAATGATATGAACGATTGGTGGGACTATTATACACTAATCCAAGTGTATAATATGTCCTTATAAAGTTATTTTGTTGATGTAAAGGTTAGATACTAACCTAGATGCAAATATTGGAAAACTAGGAATCGAGTTAGCCGGAAAACACCCGTTCTAGGGGCTGTTTTTGTATCAACGATTCGGATTTGAAATAGCAACTTGAGGAGGCTGTTTAGCACCCATTTTCAAGTAAGGAACTAGTTCCCAATCTTCCTTAGCCGAGGCTTTGGTCATTGGATCGAGAAGGAAAGTTTTAAAGCTCATTTGAGGTGAGGATGACCGACTATATTGTTTATAATCTTTGGGTTAATTTCATAAGATTACCTAAAGTAATTAAATGTGATTTTCATAGGTTATTAATGATTAGTAATGCCTAAATGGAAATATTATTGTTTGTGAATAGAAGATGCATAACATACAAGTTTACGAGAAAATTGTGTATGATGATGCGTTACAAATATGATGGTATAATGATTGTACAAACCATGAATTTATGTGATAAAATATACTTTTACTTCATGTATAGAAATCATGAATGGATAAAAGTGATATTTTTATATTGAGATTAAATCATACACGGAGTGGAAAATCCGTAGGAATGAGCCTTATAACAATGAATTAAAGATCTTGGTTGTTTAAAGACTAATGGATTAGTATTGAATTCACTAGTCGGGAATGTTAGTGTAAAAAGTGATAGAACAAATCCTAAGGGCTTGGATTGTGAAGGATGCACCTTAAGTAATCTTATGAGATGTCTTAAGGTAGGAATGGGTAACCGCTAAATTACATTAGGAGTAGGCCTCATAGGCTACTCAAGATAGAGAAAACCTAGGCATAGAATTTGCTTAGTGAGTAGTATCGTGACTAGAGGAAGCCTCTAGCACGATGAGGAATGACTGGAGGAAGCCTCCAGCATTCGTGTAGGACGACTAGAGGAAGCCTCTAGCGTAGTGTAAGATGACTAGAGGAAGCCTCTAGCATAATGTAATGTGACTGGAGGAAGCCTCCAGCACAAAGTATGTAAGGTGATTAGAGGAAGCCTCTAACACCGAATGTAGTGACTAGAGTCAGCCTCTAGCACGACAAAACATGACTAGAGGAAGCCTCTAGCATGGTACACTGATATAGATGGGTGTGGCTTGAAGTCACGGGGGAAAGGTTAAATGCCTTCAAAGTAAACATGAGCCTTCGGCCGACTACTTGACTTTATATATAAAGTAAGTATATTTGTAAAGAGGGTAACCACGAGTTATGACCTATATTGTAATATCACCCTATTTGAGGGTCTTGGAAATTGAAACGTTGATTATACTTAGTATAGTTGTCATTGTACTTGTCAAATGCTTCCAAGTACTGACCTCCCCTTCACGGGGGAGGCCACCTCACAGTTTCAGGTAGGACTTGAAGGTTGCTACCACGCCCGTTGTTTCGGGAAGGTCAAAGGAGGAGGACGTGGTTCGTGCTTCTTCCGTTTCTGTTTTAAACAATTACAATAATGCTCATGGAAATTATTTTGAATACTATTTGGGGGCTTGTATGCCCATGTTTGCCACGTGTGGCTTGAATACGTGTATTAATGTTTCCGCTGCTTTAAATGAATATTTTACATTATGTTTGTTTATGGATGTACTATGTGTGAATGGTATTCAAGACGCCTAGTATAGTATGGATGAGTTGGACTGCGGTTGACTATTCGTACTGTACGGCGGGTTGTTGACGTGTCCGGTAGGTCCGGGGCGTGACAATTTAATTGGTATCAGAGCCTTAGTCCGTAAACTTCATAATGAAGCTTCAAAATCTCTTTTTGAAAAACGAATTTGAAAACCATGAGCATAAAAGTTTTGTACTTATAGAACTTTTGGTACTTGAGTTGCAAAGTCTCTAATTGTTAAGATGGTACCCTTAACAATTGGTATGACGGTGATTTGAGCCGAAAGGTGTCTTTAAGTACCTATCCGTCACTTGACACTTGATACGAGCCTAATGGCTCATTCTAAACTTCTTTCAGAAATGGAACGCACCGGTAGAGTGACTCGACGGAACCCGACTGGCCAGGTGCTGGGAGGATCCCAACGTGGCAGTCAGGGGGGATCAAGAGAGTCTGGGGGACAGGGCCGAGCAAGCCACTCGCTGACCGTGAGTGGCGGTCACGTGGAAACAATAGATGAGCACTATGAGTCCGAGGAGGATTCAACTTACCAACCGGGAACTGAGCCGGTTGACACCCCATATGATGGGGAACACGATGATGCTAGTGATGAGAGTGATGATAATGACGCTCTTGAACGGATTGAGGAATTGCTCCGGCAATACCAACAAGATCGCCAAAGGCGCCGGGCAAGGCGTGCTTTGGAAGGGGCTTCGAGGAGAGGAAGCCGCGCGACTCCTAGGGAGAGCATTGAACTCCGAGGAGGTCGAGGTGCCGAGGTTCCTATCATAAGGATCTCAAAGTACCTAAAGGAGGCAAGAGACTTGGGATGTAAACCGTTTGATGGAACGGGAGACATCTCCGTGGCGGCCGAGTGGATCAAGAGATTCAATGAAGCGGCCCTTGATATGCAGCTGCCACCCCATATGAAGATGAGAGTGGCAACAAGATTGCTAGAAGGAATGGCGTCCACGTGGTGGGACGGTGTCAAAGGGAAGTACGGTGAGGCGGTCACTTGGGAGAACTTCAGGCAAGAATTCTTTAGCCAATACTACTCCGACTTCGAGGTGAACTTGAAGAGGAGGGAGTACACGAATTTGACCCAAGGAGGGGAATGCACGGTGAAGGAACTTGAACACAAGTTCAGAAAGCTTGCTGAGTTCATACCGGAGTACATTTGTGATGAAAATCGGATGGTGAACCATTTCTGGGATGCCTTGGACCTTGACATACGTGAGAGGGCAACACAATTGCCTAATATGACATTTAGTCAAGTGGTGGAACAAGGTTTAAAGGGAGAGAAGGAGTGGGAAGAGAGGAAGCGAAGAAATGCCGAGGAGGCAAAGAAAAGAAAATGGGAGAACCATGGCCCCCAAGGTTCAAACAAGAAGATGAATCACGGGGGAGGAGGATCCTTCAGGGCACCCGCACCACCATCAAGGGGGAATCCCAACATGGGCGGGCAAAACTCGGGGTTACAAGCCTCGACGAAGCCTAAGTGCAGGAATTGCAAGAGAAATCACGAGGGCAAATGTCGTGATCCCCCACGGTGCTACCAATGCGGAGATACGGGGCACATAAGGCCTAATTGCCCTCAACTTGGTGGGAACCGGTCATCAGGACCAAACGTGGCAACCACGGTGAGTAGAAACCGGGGTGGGGCACCCAATGCAAGCACGAACCACGGCGGGGCAAGTACAAGCAACGCACCCTCCGTGAACCAAGGAAGGACTCAGGCGAGAGTGTACGCAATGACCGAGGCCGATGCTCGGGCTAATCCCGACTGCGTCGCAGGTAATACACTTATTCTGGTCATTTCTAGGCTTACTTTGATCATATACGTCGTTGGGATTGAGTACGGGCCACCCCGGGGTCAAACCGGGTGAGTTAGGCCTAATCGGGCTGGAAACAGCCACTGCTGGCCAGGCACGCCCGCAGGCACGCCGTGCCTGGCATCGTGCCTGGAAGGCAGTGGCACCCGAAGAAAAAAAAAAAAAAAAAAAAAAAAAAAAAAAAAAAAAATTTGGGCCAGGCACGGCCGCAGGCACGCCGTGCCTGGCGTCGTGCCTGGAAGGCAGTGGCGCCCCGAAGAAAATTTGGCCAGGCACGGCCACAGGCACGCCGTGCCTGGCACCGTGCCTGGGAGGCAGTGGCGAGCATGGGGACTCCTATGCACGCACGGCCGTGCGTGCTACCCAGGCACGCCGTGCGTGAACCCCCGGCAACCGAAAACTTAGTTTTTCACTCCGTTCTTCTACGTTTGGACCCCCGTTTGATTCCAAACATTAATATGAACCTAATAACCTCCTAATGATGTGTAAAAACATTAGAAAAGGTATCTCACATGGTGTATACATGTAAGAACATTAAAGATCAATGGTAGGTGCGCGAGGATCCTTATCGATACCGGAGCGCAACGTTCATTCGTAAGTAAGGCGTTCGCCGAGGGCTTAGAGATACAATCAATACCAATGACGCAAACCTTAGTGGTATCAACACCACTAGGGGAAGACGTTGAAAGAACCAAGTACTATCCATCTTGTGTGGTGGAAATCGGTGGCCAAACCTTGACGTGTGATTTCGTACCGCTGAGTATGATGGAGTTCGATGCAATCCTAGGGATGGATTGGCTAGAAAAGCATCATGCTAGGGTAGATTGCTACACAAAGGTCTTGGAACTCGAAGGCAACGATGGGGATACCCTACGCTTCGAGGGGGACCGAGGCAAATCAAACAGCTGTATCATATCCGCTGTGAGGGCGAGAAGTATGATGAGAAAGGGATGCCACGCTTATCTAGCATACGTGGTTGACAAGACCAAGGAGGAATCGAACATCGACGACGTGAGGGTGGTTGGTAAGTACCCGGATGTCTTCCCAAAGGACCTGCCGGGGCTTCCACCTGGTAGGGAGATTGAATTTGTGATCGAGGTCGAGCCCGGCACCAAACCAATCTCCATACCGCCATACCGTATGGCACCCGCTGTACTTAACGAGTTGAAAACCCAATTGCGAGAGCTTTTGGATAATGGTTTCATTAGACCAAGCCACTCCCCGTGGGGAGCACCGGGTCTTTTTGTGAAAAAGAAAGATGGGACACTTCGAATGTGCATTGACTATCGTCAACTGAACAAGGTCACAATCAAGAATAGGTATCCTTTGCCTAGGATTGATGACTTGTTTGATCAACTACGAGGAGCAACCGTGTTTTCGAAGATTGACTTGAGGTCGGGGTACCATCAATTGAAGATTAAGGAAGACGACATACCAAAGAGTGATTTCCGCACAAGGTATGGGCATTTTGAGTTCCTGGTTATGTCGTTTGGGTTAACAAACGCCCCAGCGGCATTCATGGACTTGATGAACCGAGTATTCCATAAATACTTGGATCGATTCGTGATTGTGTTCATAGATGACATCTTGATTTACTCAAAGAGTGAGGAAGAGCATGAAGAGCACTTGATACTCGTTCTTGAGACACTACGGGAGAAGCAACTCTATGCCAAATTTTCTAAGTGTGAATTTTGGCTAAAGGAGATTGGCTTTCTCGGGCACGTGGTTTCAGGATCGGGAATTGCTGTTGATAACAAGAAGATAGAGGCCATTACTGAATGGGAGCGGCCGGAGAACGTCAAGGGAATTCGTAGTTTCCTTGGATTGGCAGGCTACTACAGAAAGTTCATGGAGAAGTTCTCTGTTTTGGCATCACCATTGACGAAGCTCACTCGTAAAGGAGCTAAGTTTGTATGGGATGATAAATGTGAGAAAGGGTTCATGGAACAAAAAAAAAAAAAAAGAGATTGACCGAGGCACCGGTACTTGCATTACCCAAACAGGGTGTGGGGTACGATGTCTATAGCGATGCGAACATCCAAGGGTTTGGGTGTGTGTTGATGCAGGAGGGGGAGAGTAATTGCCTATGCTTCACGACAGTTGAAGAAGCATGAGGTAAATTACCCTACCCATGATCTGGAGCTGGGAGCAGTAGTGTTTGCACTGAAGGTTTGGAGACATTATCTCTACGGAGAGACATGTCACATATATACTGATCATAAGAGCTTGAAGTACGTGTTTACTCAGAAAGAGTTAAACATGAGACAGAGACGGTGGATGGAGTTGATAAAGGACTACCATCTAGTTATTGAGTACCATCCAGGTAAGGCAAACGTTGTAGCAGATGCCCTCAGTCGGAAGAGTTCGTCTGGGGCATTGTTGACTAGTTTGAGGGCACTGAGGGCCCAATTGGATGTATCTAGCGACGGTGCCTTATTGGCATGATTCGAGGTGAGACCGACCTTACTTGATGAGGTCAAGAAGGGTCAAGAGACTGACATAGAACTTATAAAGGTCCGGGAACGCATGCAAGCGGGACTGGTGGAGGATTTCAGGGAAAGAGATGATGGTCTCTTGTTATTTCGTGACCGAGTGTGTGTACCGTCAGATGAGGAGCTCCGAAAGTCCATCTTAGAGGAGGCTCATTCATCGGCTTATGCCATGCACCCGGGGGGCACGAAAATGTACCGTGATTTGAAAGGAAGTTACTGGTGGTCTGGAATGAAGAGGGAAATAGCCGAGTACATCAGTCGATGCCTTACTTGTCAGCAGGTTAAGGCAGAACATCAGCAAGAAAGGTGAAGAAACAGAGGAGTAAAGAAGTCCCAATGGTTAAAGTACCTTGGAAGAGCGACCGGGTCGAAGAAGAGACATGGGAAACAGAGGCTTTGACGAGGAAGCAGTATGCTTTCCTATTCAAGTAGAGCTGTGAATTTCGGGGACGAAATTCCTGTTAAGGGGGGGTGAACTTGTGACACCGCACCCGAACGTCCTTGAAAAAAATTCAAGTTAAAAATTCAAAGTTTACGTATTGAATTTCTGATTCCCAAAAAAAAATTGTAAATGATTGATGATTTTACGTAATTAATGATCGATTATTATACCGTCCGAACTCGCATATTAGTGTCGGGCTTGTGAATACTCATTTGGGCCTTATTAATAAATAAAAGAGCCTAACATTATCTAAGTAGCGATACATAACGTTTCAGGACAAGTTGAAGAAGGGCGGGCAGCCCAGATATTATTTTGGGCTCAACCCGCTAAAATAGCAAGTATTCGAGGACGGCGTCGTAGGCCCACTCGGGGGCGACCCACACGGCTAGTAGCCCGATAATATGGATAACAAATGTCAAAATAAGTGATAGGATGATTTGAGAAGAATACAAATGCCTATAACCCCACCTTTGGCCTTATTGAGCTAAATAATGGGAGTAGGATTTTCCTTCTATAATATCTATCAAGTAAATTATTGGGATGAGCCTACACATATTGGAGATCAATAATGTGATTTGAGAAGTTGACTTGTTCTAAATAAATTAGGATGAGTACAAAAAGACATCTTTTGACAAAGATAAAACAATAGGACCCATTTTCCCCATTTTTGGAAGCATTGGTAGATAATTTGGATCCCAAAATGATTGGGATCAATTGGGAACCACTCCACATGATATTAGTACCTGCAAGACAAATAAAAATGGGTTAGTAGACTTACCTTGGCCGGCCATTATGGAGAAGAGCTGCACATGACTTGATAAGAATCAAAGTTTGGGGCCACCACTCTTATTTTCGCACAAATTGGTGTGCTGTTTGTCTCCTCTCATTATAGGAGCTATCCTCAACCAAATAACGTGTATGAGGTGTCCTTGGATAGCTTTTGAAGTCTATTTTTATAATTGAGTGGTCTCAATTCGAGAGGAGAGAGCAATCATCCAAAAATCGATCTGGAACGAGCAGAGGTCTGTGAACTCGAGCTGTGAGAGTGCTGAGACTGTTTGGTCGATATCTCGAGTTTTACAAATCCAATTAAGGCGTGTGAGATACCCACAGAAAGCTCTCAAGACGAGGAATCCGTGAAGGTCTGGTTTGCAGGAATCGGAGTTGTGGAAGGCTTCCAAATCGTCCGAGAAAAACGCAACCTCGCAGGAGAGGATTCAATCCTCTAAAGTGAGTTTTAACCCCAAAGCTTTACTTTTCATTCTCCAAATGATATGAACGATTGGTGGGACTATTATACACTAATCCAAGTGTATAATATGTCCTTATAAAGTTATTTTGTTGATGTAAAGGTTAGATACTAACCTAGATGCAAATATTGGAAAACTAGGAATCGAGTTAGCCGGAAAACACCCGTTCTAGGGGCTGTTTTTGTATCAACGATTCGGATTTGAAATAGCAACTTGAGGAGGCTGTTTAGCACCCATTTTCAAGTAAGGAACTAGTTCCCAATCTTCCTTAGCCGAGGCTTTGGTCATTGGATCGAGAAGGAAAGTTTTAAAGCTCATTTGAGGTGAGGATGACCGACTATATTGTTTATAATCTTTGGGTTAATTTCATAAGATTACCTAAAGTAATTAAATGTGATTTTCATAGGTTATTAATGATTAGTAATGCCTAAATGGAAATATTATTGTTTGTGAATAGAAGATGCATAACATACAAGTTTACGAGAAAATTGTGTATGATGATGCGTTACAAATATGATGGTATAATGATTGTACAAACCATGAATTTATGTGATAAAATATACTTTTACTTCATGTATAGAAATCATGAATGGATAAAAGTGATATTTTTATATTGAGATTAAATCATACACGGAGTGGAAAATCCGTAGGAATGAGCCTTATAACAATGAATTAAAGATCTTGGTTGTTTAAAGACTAATGGATTAGTATTGAATTCACTAGTCGGGAATGTTAGTGTAAAAAGTGATAGAACAAATCCTAAGGGCTTGGATTGTGAAGGATGCACCTTAAGTAATCTTATGAGATGTCTTAAGGTAGGAATGGGTAACCGCTAAATTACATTAGGAGTAGGCCTCATAGGCTACTCAAGATAGAGAAAACCTAGGCATAGAATTTGCTTAGTGAGTAGTATCGTGACTAGAGGAAGCCTCTAGCACGATGAGGAATGACTGGAGGAAGCCTCCAGCATTCGTGTAGGACGACTAGAGGAAGCCTCTAGCGTAGTGTAAGATGACTAGAGGAAGCCTCTAGCATAATGTAATGTGACTGGAGGAAGCCTCCAGCACAAAGTATGTAAGGTGATTAGAGGAAGCCTCTAACACCGAATGTAGTGACTAGAGTCAGCCTCTAGCACGACAAAACATGACTAGAGGAAGCCTCTAGCATGGTACACTGATATAGATGGGTGTGGCTTGAAGTCACGGGGGAAAGGTTAAATGCCTTCAAAGTAAACATGAGCCTTCGGCCGACTACTTGACTTTATATATAAAGTAAGTATATTTGTAAAGAGGGTAACCACGAGTTATGACCTATATTGTAATATCACCCTATTTGAGGGTCTTGGAAATTGAAACGTTGATTATACTTAGTATAGTTGTCATTGTACTTGTCAAATGCTTCCAAGTACTGACCTCCCCTTCACGGGGGAGGCCACCTCACAGTTTCAGGTAGGACTTGAAGGTTGCTACCACGCCCGTTGTTTCGGGAAGGTCAAAGGAGGAGGACGTGGTTCGTGCTTCTTCCGTTTCTGTTTTAAACAATTACAATAATGCTCATGGAAATTATTTTGAATACTATTTGGGGGCTTGTATGCCCATGTTTGCCACGTGTGGCTTGAATACGTGTATTAATGTTTCCGCTGCTTTAAATGAATATTTTACATTATGTTTGTTTATGGATGTACTATGTGTGAATGGTATTCAAGACGCCTAGTATAGTATGGATGAGTTGGACTGCGGTTGACTATTCGTACTGTACGGCGGGTTGTTGACGTGTCCGGTAGGTCCGGGGCGTGACAGAAGAGAGATAAGGGAGAAAGCTAAACTGCTAGGGGACCAATTCAATGCTACGAGGATGTCCGTTTCGGCCCGGTCATGACGAAGACGAGTACTAGAGACAGTGCTTCGAGCTAAGTGAGGGGGAGTCACTCATTGGTACGTACTTAAGTTTGATATCTTGTAACTGGCATTATTTTCTTCACAAAAAAAATAAAAAAAAAATAAAACAAATGCTAGCTAGGTTGAAAACCCAAAAATGGGTATTGGTGGCAGGGGAAATTGAAACGTTGATGAATGGGTATTGGTGGCAGGGGAAATCCGGGAAAGGTATTAGATGGAGAAATTGGGATTTTATGTGTAAGCCAAAAAAAGAAGGTGGTATGGGCTTTAAGAAACTTCGAGAATTTATTCTGTCCATGTTAGCTAAACAAGCATGGAGATTATTCTATGAACCGGATTCTCTAGTCGGGAGGGTGTTCAAGGCCAGATATTACAGGGATGGCAATTTTTTGTCAGCAAAGGCGGGGTAATAATCCGTATTTTATTTGGCAAAGTCTTTTTCAGGTTCAAGATATTATTAAGCAAGGCTATTATTGGAGAGTTGGAAATGGGCTGGATATCAACATATGGACTGAGCCTTGGCTTCCGGATAAAAGTCAATCCAAAGTAGTGACTACTCCTGTAATGGGGCTGGAGCAAGCTCAGGTCGGGAACCTTATGTGCGCTGGGGAAAAGAGGTGGGATCTGGACCTTCTCAAAGACTTATTTGTGCAACGGGATGTTGATATCATTCAGGGAATTCCGTTAAGCCATAGGAATGTACCAGATAGAGTGTGCTAGAGATGGGAGAACTCGGGCCAGTTCTCTGTTAGTAGTTGTTACTGTGCTATAACTGGAGAGATTGCATCTGGGGATTGGGTCGGGTGGTCGGAGATGTGACGGTGGAAAGTGCCACCAAAGGTGAAGCAGTTCTTCTGGCAAGCATATTGCGGTCTTCTCCCGATGAAGGATAATCTCATGGTCCGGAGAATAAATTGCACAAGATGTTTGTGGTTTGTGTGGGATGAATGTAGAGTCTCTATTTCACTTGTTCATTTCTTGCTCAATATCGAAGGAAGCTTGGAACTCGGTAGGATGGAGCTGGACGGATTCTGCTGCGGGGTCTTTTCTGGAGCAAATCCGACGGGAATTTCAAATGAAGAATACTGAGGACTTATGCAAGCTGATTTGGGGGGTTGTGGATTATGGGGAGAGCGAAATAACAGAATCTTGGGGAGCTTGTACTAATCCGAAGCAGGTCATGAGGAAAGCTCGGGTGTATGTCGAGGGTTGGCGTCTTGCTCAGAAAGGTGCAGGCGGGCAGACCAGCCACGGAGGAATGGACACTCTATGTGTTGGAAAAATCCAGCTCCTGGTAGGCTGAAACTGAATGTGGATGCGGCAATCAGGGAAAATAGGAGCGTGCTGGGTTGGATTCTTAGAGATGATTCTGTTAATTTTATTGCAGGTATGTCGAAGGTCTGGATAGGAGTCTTGTCTCCGTTGGTAGCTGAGTTGATAGGGATTCGGGAAGCTTTGAGCTGGGCTAAAGGAAGAGGATGGGATCGGGTGGACGTGGAGTCAGATTCATCAGGAGCAATTTCGGAGATACTAAAGGAGTCAAGCATTTCCTTAGTAGGCGTCTTGGATGGTGATATTCGAGAGATAGCATCTTGTTTTATGGACATCTCTTTTTTTCATGTCAAGCGATCAGCGAACAGGGCATCTCACGAATTAGCTAAAGCTGCTTGTTCTGTGTTTGATTGTATTTGTATGAGCGTTTTTCCTCCTCACTTTATTACTCATGTATTAAACACCAATTCTTTGAATGCAAGTTAATCTTTTTCTTTTCAAAAAATTGAGGTGGAAGTACAAAAATTGTCTCCAATGCGGATGGCATTCTAAAATATGTATACTGTTAGAGCATCTCTAATGTTACAATATGCACGGTACGTGCACATGTGGCATGAGAAAAATATACACAAAAGATTAACTTTATGACATTTCTCTCTCCTTCTTTCCACGGTGTTATGTGTTTTTTGTAAGTTTTTCTCAACAATGTCAAATTGTCAACCACGATGTGTACATCTAGACAATGTGTGTGACACTGTAGAGAATAACTTATTGAAAAAATATACCCAGAGTAAGATCGTTCAAATAAAAAAAAGATATTCTATTTATTACTCTCTCTGTACCTTAAAACTTTGTCAAATTTGAACGGCACGAGGATTAATAAAGTAAAAACTGTGTGGTTGAGGTTTGTGCAGAGGAGAGAGAATTAACTGGAATCACAAATTCTTTACTTAAAAGGGAAAGTGAAAAAGTTAATGGAACATCTAAAAAAGGAAAGTTGACAAAGTTTTAAGGGACGAAGGAAGTATTTTTTTAACTAACGGTCTCTTATGCCACATATGTGTCGTTCACATTTTTGCATTATACTAGTATTATCTCTAGGGGTGGGTTCAGTTCTTTCGGTTCGGTTTTGACCTAAAACCAAATATAGAATCAAAGTAAAAAGTTCGGTTCGGTTTCGGTTCGGTTTTACACTCCAAAACTTGAAACGACAGTTTGTTTCGATTCGGTTTCGGTTTTTTCGGTTTTCTACCAAAGAATTGTCATTTGACTTAAAATTGGTGTAATAGTTAGAAGGATCAAACATATTACATAAAGAATGCGAGCACACTAGAACAAATAAAATAAAAATGAGAAGAAATAAATATGTCTTGAATTACATGAGTATGCGAGAGATATAAAAGTGTATATATTATTAATTTACATTGTCTGTGACTTGTTCGAAAAAAGTTCATGAATATATACGTTCTATGTGATATACTCTGTAGTTGAGATGAATATTTATTGTTTTATCAATATAAAATCTTTAAGTTATATAAAAATAAAAGTTAATTACTACTAATTACCCGTAAAAGCATACCATCATCATGCAACAAATTGCAACATACTTACATAAAAGATATAATAGATCAAGCTACATTATGAGCCCGTTTGGAGAACTCTGTTTTCGGCTTATCAGGCTTATCAGCCAGCTTTTTCACCAAACACGTAACTTTTACTTTCGCGCGCTGAATTGTGTAATAAGCCGAAAAAGTAAGGTTGGAGTTACTTTTCTGGCTGTATTGGCTGAAGTTACTGTAGAGGACCATTTTAGCTATTTTTACATATAATTTTTTCTTTAATTTATTAATAAAATATATTTTTAAAATATTTTTTTCTTAAATCAGCAGAATCAGCCAAAACAGCCACTCCAGCCAGAATATCATAAATTTCAGCAGAATCAGCCAAAACAGCCGATTTTGGTGCTACCAAACGGGCTCTATTACTGGCAATGAATGTGTAAATGAACTTATAAACTAAACTAAACATAATACAAACATTATTTTTCTAGCACAAGAAAATCCAAGACTATTGATGATATTAGGATTAATTAGGATTAAGTCTTAACAATTAACAAATAAATTTAATATTTTCATTAGTTCGGTTTGTTCGGTTTTGAAGAGTAAAAACCAAAACCAAACCAAACAACAACGGTTTGGTTCGATTCTTTTAAAAGTTCGGTTTTAATTGGTTGCGGTTCAATTTAATTTGATTCAGTTTTCGGTTTTTTGGACTAGGCCCTAATTATCTTTATATGCACGGTATGATGAAAAGGACAAATCTTTGTGAATCTACAATCCAGGGAGGCATGGAGGAATCTAATATAGTCCGGAATAGCTTAATGATAGATACATTTGGATGTAATCTGGATACCCAATCATTTACTGCATTAAAATATCGTATTTATCGATTCAATAATTTCCTTAGAAACCTAATCCAAAATAAACAAATCGATAAAGGAAAAAAAAAAAAGAAATTAAAGCCATCCCTTCTCCATCACCATGACACGAGGCATGTTGATATCGCCCATGGCTTCCCCGTCGTCCCTCCGCTTACTCGGGATTCTCAAACAGCCGGAATCCGACAATCTCGAGCTCGACGAGGGCGACCTCTTCGTCTCCTCCTCTTCCGCCGCCGGAATCCCTCCCTCCCCGCCGGCGCACCCGAATCGGCCGCGTAAACACTTCAACCCGTCGATCCCCGGCCTCTCCGACGCCCTCCACGACGACCGCCACCTCGTCCGCCGCAAATCCTCCCTCAATCCCGCCGCCAGGATAATCCCCCAGGCGAGATCCAGATCGAATCCGAGCGCCGGCGCGAAATTCCACAAATCGGCCCCGATGAACGTGCCGGTTTGGCCGAACCGCCAGAGCGCCGGATTCGACGCGACGGACCGGTTCGATGAGGCGGAGAACGACGGAGACGAAGACGACGAACTGGTGCCCCCTCACGTGATGGTGGCCAGGGCGCACGTGACTCTGTCCGTCTTTGAAGGAGTGGGGAGAACCCTCAAGGGAAGAGACTTGCGCCGCGTTCGCAACGCTGTGTTTCAACAAACAGGTTTTCTGGATTAAATTTAAAAGGGAAATTAATTAATCACATTGTAAGTATTAATTGCCTTTTTCCTCCTTAGATTTTTCCTAATAAAGTGAGCATTAATGTGGTGAGATTAATTGATTTTCCAGCTTGTGAACATAAACCCTGAAATCTGAAGGCGTGTTTGGTTTGTTTCATATCGGTGTTTTTGAAACACAGTGTATGGGATGAATATGAAGATGGAATGCCATTTTGAGATGGTTGGTGTTAATGCGATTGTGTGATTCTTTATTTTTTGATGTTATCTGATTATTATGTTATTCTCGAATCCAACAGGTGCATGTGACCTCTAATGTGGAGGTGAAAAAAATAATGAAACTTTTGTATAGTGCATTACTGCATTTATCATACTATGAAACTGTGTTTTAAATAGCGGTCCACTACCGCTATATAGCGGTCGCGATAGGTACCGCTACCGCTACGGGCCGCTATCGGGGTGTGATTTTTCAAATCACAGGAAAATCCCGCTACGCTGTCCGCTACAGGCCGCTACCGGCACTTCCGGTAGTACATCACGAACTGGTTGATGTGTAAATGTGTAAATGTTGTGTGCTAAAAAAATACATTAATAGTGATGCATGGAGTGAAACTCTAAATTAAATATACATGTATCCACATACATTATGGTAGCAAATATTAATAAATATCTAAATTTTAATTATTAAAACTGAATTAATTATTAATAACGATGATTTAACTTTAATATTGGTTGACGAAAAAATGTTGACTTAACAAAACAATTTGGAACGGAAGTGGTATTATTACGGATTATGCAAGTTGCAATGCATGGTCCACTTCTTAAAATTTGATGGTGAAATAACAACAATTTTCATATAAGTAATATATTTTCGGGACGGAGCAGTATATCTTTTTATTGAAAATTATTTATAATATACAAATGAAATAATAATGTTCTTTGTTAAAAGTACTTTCATAAAAGTATAAAATTTATAACTTTTAGGGTTGGTTTGCAACTGCTTTTAAAAAAGCACTTCTCAGCTTTTGGCTTTAAAAAAGCACTTATTTTCCCAAACACTACAACTTTTATTTTTCTCGGCTTCCGCGTCAAAAGTGCTTTTACTTTTTCTATTACACAAAAAGCACTTATTTTACCAAACACTACCCACTTTTACTTTTCAAAATCACTTTTTTCTCAAACACTATCAACTTTTATTTAATCACTTTTCCCCATTTCATTTAAAAAAGCACTTTTTTAAAAGCATAAACTGTTGCAAACATACCCTTATAATGTTATATCAATAAAAATCATGATCCAAATTTTATGAAATGGAAAAATTATTTGGATATATTTTATTAAATACTCCGTACTACATATATGTTTTGCGCATTTAAAAATATTTCATGCCACTTCAATAGTTACAGGCCACTATCGAGATGATCGCTATCGTTGCCGCTTCAGCTATTTAAAACACTGCTATGAAATATCTAATTTAGTAATTTATCGAAAACTTTGGTATATATTATGAGATTTTGGTATACGACCAATATAATCGAAAACTTTTGGTATAGTATTATGTGATTTTTGTATACGATCGACCAATATAATCGGTATTTATATGGTACCCAATTTCATTGGTATGATAGGGATATATATTTCGAAAATAATCCATATATTTACTAATATAAAAATGACTTAAAACACAATATTAATTTTAGTATAAATAGCTTTATAGCCACGTTGCTTGGATTATTTGTATTCTTTTGTTGAAGATCGTTGTTATTTTATTTATATCTATATTGTTAAAGATATTTTAGGAGAATGTATTTTTCGTATTTCATATTGAATATGACCTAAGTTATTATTAGTATTTTGTAATTGAACTTGTAAATGATTTTAATATATTACTAAGCTACTAACATCAGTTTTAGTATATCACTACTGACATCGAACTTGTATATATTGTTTGGCATATAGTATTTCAAGTATGAATTTTGCTTGGTGTACACAAATTGTGTACACCTTTGGCACCCCATATAAAAGGCCCCTATTTTTACCAACATTTACCCCCTCCAAAAATTCTGCCCTCTCACAACCCTCCCTTCCACCTCCCCTGCGCAGAACCATTCCGCCAAAAAAAATCGGAAGCAAGATCGAGCTACAGTGATATCCTTCATCTTTTCTAGTAAAAGTCTTCTTCAATGGAGCTAAACTGGAATGATACATCTGAGTGGGTTGATGGCTTACTATTGGATAGCATGATTTTTGGAGAGCTAGGTGATGAAGGTGAAGATGATGCTTGTACGCCGGTTTCCGACAAACTGGATGCGAGGTCGAGGGCGGATGATGAACAAGGTCGGTCGAAGGCTTGAATATTTGTTGTTGTCTTGGTTTTGTTTTCTTGATTTTCTTGATTTTGTTTT